TCCCTCATCATAGGCCTGCAATGCGTGCAGAGAACTTTAGATAGTCAAGTGAATGAAGTATGAAGTGGATAAAGGAGTTCTGTACACTTACATTAACAGGCTCATTGATGTTGTTGAATCAGTGAAATCCTAACTTACAGTAATGAAAATATATATTAAATAAATTCCAGTTTTAGAGAGGAAGCCACATCAGCCTTAGTTAGTTTTCGTGCAGGTCCTCCATCCTGGTTGAATTGGAATTATTTGGAGATGTTGGTTTTTGTGGGGGCGGGAGGTGGGGAACCAGAGTACTCTGACTAGCAAGGCGAGAACCAACAACAAACTCAACCCAGATATAGCACCATGCTGGAATCAAATCAGGGCCACATTGGTGGGAAGCGAGCACTCTCACCACTGCGCCATCCCTGCTCCCCATACATGAAAAATTTAAATTCCAAAATCATCAATAAGTTGATAGTAATATTCATTTAATAGTTAATAAGCCATCATTAGTCTTTAAAAAAGATGCTTCTGGAACTTTATTTCTGAGTTTGAACAAATCTAGAATATAAGTATACATTGTACCAAGTTATAAAATTTAAATATTAGATCTTGGAAATGGAAATAATCCTACTCTTACTTGTTTCTGCCCTGAACTTGATGGCATCTACTTCAGTCTCTTCCTCATCAGTCGACTGTCCTTCATGGTGAGTTTCAGGCTGTGAACCTTTCTTCTCCCGTTCTCTGTGTTTTCTCCTCCGTGCTCTTCTACCCTCTCTCTCGGCAGCTCGTCTTAGCTTGGCCTGATCTGTTGCTTTAGCTGAATTCTGACCCTGCCTCCCTGTTATGAAATAAACAGAGACACACCAGCCAAATAAAGACAGATTTGCATGTCACCCTGATTTTTCTTGAGGACACTGTGTGGCTGCACACACTATCATAGGTTAGCACCTAACCATTTCTATTTTTTTATGCATGAAAAGAAAATTGCAGTTACCAGCTTGTGCATTTAAGAAGTCTCCTGCCTGGTCACTAACATCCATCTGCCTCCTCTGTACCACAGCGCTGGCTCGATTCTTTAATAACGCATGCATTGACCTCTCAAGTTCATCAATTTCTGGCACCTGTAGAAAGAGAGATGCATGTAAAGCTCTGTTCATGAAACAAAGGGTCTCAATAAGCCAGTAGTCTGGGTAATCAAACACAGACAAGAACAAGTAGTAATGTCCTACAATGATATGTTAACCCATTCAAATTCAAATTCAGTAAAGCAGAACTGTAGAAAAAATTAGACCTCTGAGAAAAGAATTTAAAATTCTAAGTTTTGAGCCCAA